AAGGTACCAGGTCTGGAGAACACTTTGTTAAAATATTAGAGGACAAAACAAAACTCTAAAAACGTAGTTGTTGCTTATATAAATGAATATGCATTATGCTATCTTGTATCCTTTAAAAGTAAAGACGATATTTAAAATTATATTAATGCAAAAATGAATTTAAATAGGTCACACAAAAGGCTCTATAGCTCAGTTCTAGAGAATAGGCAAAAAATCAAGGCAATCCACTTTAATGCACTATCTATTATCCGTAATTTGACTGGCACAAAAAAGTTAGAATGCAATAGAAAATCTCCAAATTAGAAGTAATTAGAAAAGGAAATGAATCAATTTCATCACCTTTTGAGACATTGGCTGACTGGAGCTCTAATTCAAGATATGCTGATAGTTTCGAAATCTACTTTATCTCAACAACAGTAGTAGTTGCTTCCTTTTCCATGTCGCTTAGTTATTAGACTTCATTAAAGAGCAATCGCAGACAAGGAAGGTTGCCGAATAAGGCGTGTATCTTTTGCGCTGATGCAGCGAGCGATGAAAACAAGACCGTTTGGGTCGAATGAAGGATGTATTAAAGGTCACACGACTGGGTCCGAATTCAGAGTACATCCAGACGATATGATCAGCTCGAGAAGCCTATGAATTACCAGATGGAGATGCGCATCCTAAAGCCATCATAAAATATTACTTAAAAATGCATACAGCTGTGAGCGGATGTGCCTATCACCATGTCTCTCACACATCGGCTCAACGGAAGTCTGCCTCTCACGAGGGCTGCTACCGTACCCTTGTCGCTGTGTGTTTGTATATACATATGTGTACATGTCTGTATATGTGTGTGTGTGTGTGTATGTGTAGGTGTGCCATAGTCGCTGCCGGATACACCGACAGAGACAGAGGTTATCTCGTTTTTACGAGTCCTCGGACGCAAACAATATCCCCATATGCGATGGAGTGTGCACAAGCCTTCCGCAAAGTTTCTATTGGCTCGCGATCTCTGCCTTGTGGTACCTATCCTACTCTCCGGAGCACAGACACAAGCCACTTGCTGTCTGTCGCATTGTATCCTCTCGTTGTACTTCTTTCTACCGATGAAGCCAATCTGCCTAAGTAGGCAGGCCCGATTCACATACATACTCACACCCCCACCCACAACTAGACCTAAAAAAAGCACACAAACATGCACATACAGATGTACATATACATAAACATACACACACACACACACATGCACAGATGCGCAAAGTTATCAGGCCGGCATTGGGTCGTGCACACTTGAAGAGTGCTTGCTCTATTCGATACAACAGTCATAATCTACCATCATGACCGACCTAACCGGTATCATCCTTCCCTGAGGAATATGTCATCTCACGAGGATACCAATTTGTGTACCGAAGTGACCCTTCCAGCCCGCCTGGTTGCAGGCTTCCCACGGATTAGACTCGCTCTCGCTAGCTCACTTTATTTATGTGGTTTGTGAGCCTCAAATATTCTGTGTGACCATTTAACGCGGACTTGTCCTGCTTCTTTTGTACCGGTTTTGTGTAGATAAATCTCCCGGCCGATACGAATCAGTGATCGGGATCGCATCCGCCGACAGTGTCGTGACGCGGAGCGTTGACAACAGCAAAAAGTCTTCTGCCGCGAAGGCATGAACGCAAAGAGGCCTTCGAAACGAGGCCACTCCATCTCGACTCAACTGCCGTCTCCTCCCGATTGCCACGACTGGCTGGCCGGCTTGCCAGACCCGGTCTTGGACCGTGGCTGCATGGTTTTCAAGGTTTACGGTACATAATTGCGTCCGACGGTGGCGTTGATACAGCATTTTCCTGTGGCACGTCTTCAGAGTTGCGGAGTCCAAGGCCAGGTGGCGCTAACTCGTCGGACGGGAAGACACGAGCGTAGATAATGCTCTGCATGTTCGCCAAAGGCTTTGTCTCGCTCTTCTTTCCGCTCCTCCTCCTCCTGTTCTCCCCTTCACTCCTACTATGCTCTGCACTCGTGAAGGCCTCTTTCACATTCAGCTCACTGGCGATCGTGGGCGCCTTCTGGAACGCTCAAAGAAGTCAGGCTTTTCGCCGTCGCCTCGTCTGGAATGCAATGTTGCTGGTCTCCCATTTTGCAGCCACTGTTGCTGGACAACATTTGCAAG